GCAATCATCATGGACTAGTGAGATTGTTGTGCTATTCAACACTTTAGCCGAAAGATATGGTTTTAAGTGCATTTCTTCAACTCATTAACTCGTATGCAGAAATGATGAAAGTTAAACTTGTCAATTCATGTGGTTTCTTTCCTAATTTGCTTCAAATGCAGAGATTTAACTCCTGTTTGATTTTGCTAAAAATCATAATTTTAGTAAATTTCGATAAAAAATGATGAAATTTGTATTTAAAAAGTTCATAAAAATTGAGGGTTTTATGAAATTTGTGGTTGAAAATTGAATTTTATCCTAAAAGTAACATTTTTTAAAGTATTTTGATTTTTTCTAAACTCAAAATCATAGTGTCTAGTCGATATTGGATTTTGCTCACTCTTTCCCAACCCCCCGCGGTCAAAATACGATATTTTTAGTGATATTTTATCATGTTCTTCAAATTAGGTTCTATTAAGATCCTTCACTCGCTACTTTGAGACTAACCATATCTTTTTTGACGATTGCAAATAATTAGGCCCACACATTCCTTTGGTTTCTTGCTGAAAATTCATCTTAGGCCATCTACATGGCTAAATTGAAGCATGACGCTGAAATAATTTGTAGCAATTTGGGTTTAGTCCCAAAAGGTTAACATAACCCAAGATCATTCTCATGTCTAGTAGTCGATGTGGAACTTATTGAGTGCTTTAATTTTCCTATTATTGATAGAGTAGACTTACTTCAACCTGTGACTAGACTTGTATCATGATACTTAAAGAAAGTATTATGTTCTCAATTGGAACTTGTAAAATAATATATGAACAATATATTAAGAAGGCAGGGCAAAGGTTTCCATCGATAAGGTTAGAATAAAAATGTTCCTAATTAAGGAAGTATCCATAAAAATAAGGACATTTACATCCTTGTCTTGTACCTAATATCAACAAGCTCATCAAAAGTAAGTTATACTCAAAAGCACATTAATTAAATTAGCATATACTAATTTCATCATTTCCAGTTCCTAGAGCCTCTTGAAAACCCGTGACGAAAATAATCTCGTAGTCGACTCTGAATTTATTGGGAACGAGGGTTAATTAGTTGTGTTTCTTAGAATGAGGTGGCAGAAAAGATGGCATAACCATATACATTTGGAATATATGTAGCAGCAAATGTATAGTTAGGTCAGGTAGGTGAACACTTGAATCAATCCTATATATAGAAGAAAACCAGTGTTTTCTTCAAATGGTTCGACCGTTAGCTTTCAGTAGTTTATTTTGCAGTTGAGAAGTTAAGATTACTTCTTGTCTCAGAAATCCTATATCCTCATTGAGGTTCAAACTAATGAGTCAAAATCAGATGACATGTATTCAAAGCTAGAGTCCTCCAGATGGAACTGATAAAGAAAATTTACTTACAAACATGATATAAGACTTTATGAACTTACAGCATAAATATGGTAACAAAAAAATTTGCTGATGATTCAGAAATGAAGTAGGTAAAACTGGTAAACAGAAGTCTTCCATGTACACGAAACAGTAGACTAATTTCGTGCTTGTTCATGCTTATATGTACGCATATCTGACACACATACACACAGTGACAAAGCTAAGGGGGTGGGGTAGTGACTACTCCCACAACTTTTTTATTTTTTCTTTAAAATATACTTAGAAATTTTGATTTTTTTTAACTATTATACGAAGTACGTGTATACTTTGTCCTCTTCGACATTTTTTTTCGTCCACAGTATATTTGTAATACTTGGAGCATATGCCATGAATGTTGGTGTGGGGATGGAGGGAGAGTCAGGATGTGTTAGTTGAAGAAAGCTTCTTAGTTACAAGTTTCCTTCGTACAATTGGCGGGTGAGAGATGGAGTTTCTACTTTAAAGTTTTAACAAAAGAATGGTAGGCCAACGGTCAAAACAAGTCTTATTCCCGACATAAACAAGTATTAGTACAAAAAGTTTCCTTCATTTGGATTATTTAAACGGAGAGTTTGTTTTCTTCATATGGGGTTTATTATCTTACAAATGAAAACAAAACTTGCTTAAAATTAAGGGAAAATTAACTATAATTCATTTCAAAATTAAGAAACAAGTTTTAAAATTTCAAAAATTAGATATTATCGAACTTATTTAACGATCACAAATTATCAAATTAATTAGTCATAAGTTATTTCTTGATCACAACTTGTGAGTCATAATCACATTTTTTAGGTCACATTTTATTTATTGGTCATAATCAAGAAATAATTGGTCACAATCAATTAAATACTTGGTTGCAAACACCCCTAATCCACCCACGACCACCGCCACACCAAACTGCCACCGCCACAACCACCACACCACACCACACCACACCACACCAACCACATCATCGCCGCTGCCACTATTGCTACACCAGATCACCACCACAACATCACCACCATAGCAACCATGACACCATAGTCAGAGCCACCACCACGCTTCAACACCACCACACAGCACCGCACCCACTAACCCACAACATCCAACAACCATACCCACAACACACACCACCACCCACAACACAGCACCACCACCGCAACCACAACCCCCAACCATTGCACATAGCACCGCACCCATTGCACACAGCAATACAACCACCACACCATCACTACCACCGCACCACAGTACCACACCACTGAACCATCAATCACGGCAACGCTCAAAATTTTTTTAAAAAATGGAAGAAGAACAATGGATCTGCATGGTGGTCTCTTGCCACTGTCTTCGACAATAGTCTTCCACGTGATAGAGAGAGAGAATGGGTGGATGCTGTAGCGACGATGACGATGATGCTCTGGTGGTTCTGCACACGATGAACCAGCGATGGTTCTGTTGTTGTGAGGCACCGTTGTGTCGAGACGTGTGCAACAGTGCGCCAGTGGTGTCGTCGGAGTAGTCGTAGCCGCCATAGAGAGAAGGATGAAGTGGGTTGTGATTTGTGGTTTTGGGATTTTTAGGGTTTCGGTGGGTATGATTTAGAGTGAGAAATTAGAGGATATTGAATATTATTAATATCTGATTTTTGTATAAACAAACTTTAGATCCGATTTTTGAATTGGATCTTAAAAATTTGGTTGGATGTAATTTCTACTAAAATTAATGTCAAGTTGGTAATAAACCTAAGTTCCAAAGCGTGTTCTTTGTACAAGTTTTTCACTCTATCTTCTACATATTATTAAGCCCTTGTTTGATTTAGTTAAAAATCAGATTTTCAGTAAATTCTAGTAAAAGTTGATGAAATATTTTGTTGAAAAATTAATAAAAATTGTGGATCTGATAAAAATGTGTGATTAAAAATGAATTTGAAGAAAAGTACATTTTTAAAAAAGGGGAGCTAAACATGGACTAATAGTCTCTGCAGTTGGAACAAAGTTGGTTAACGTCCTTACTCCTTTTTAATTGGAAGGCCAATCATCTTCTATGATTCAATGTGCAATTGTCAAAGTCCCATGTTACTCATATTTTAGTGAGGACATCCATTAAATCATATGATTATATGAATAAGCATAACATGCATAAATCGAGAATTTGGGATGTTAACCCAGTTTAACCTAAAACTGGTAGTTTAACCTAAAATATTGGCATTTGTCAGTCTAATATAGAGAATGTAGGCCAATTAAGTCATGGAAAGGTGATCAAGACCTACAACCATATATACATACGTCTCCACAAGGTCTAACAACAATACCCACCTTTTCTTGCTGATAATATATATTATTATCATTACATTAATTCTTTTTCAATTTATGTGAAACAAGAAACATAAGACAGCTAGTTTGGGTTTATTGGATTTTATTTAGGTTAATTAGTTCAATATAAGTTTAAGTCTTTGTTTGGTGGGGATTAAAATTATATTTTTATTAGATTTTGATAAAAATTGATAAAATGTGTGATCGAAAAGTTGTGGATCCGATGAAATATGTGGTTAAAATTAATTATTGACTTTGATTTTAATTAAAATTTAAAAATTTCAATTATAACTGATATTGACGTGGAAAATATATGTTTAAAACAGGATCGAGGTAGTCTTTCAAAACATTAAGGGTCTGTTCTCTTTACCATTTTCAAATCATTTTCTGTTTTCGATTTTTCAAAACAGTGAAAACGCGTTCTCTTTCCTATTTTCGAAAACCCGTTTTTGAAAACAAATTAAAAATTTACAAAGAAAACCCAAATTAAAAATTTGTCATTTTTGGTGTTTTCAATTATAATCAAATTAATATTTTCAAAACGCGTTTTAGGTGTTTTCAAAATACTAAAAAGAACACATTTTCAACAATTTCAAAATGGACACTCAAAATCCAAAACCCAAAATGAATTCAAAACTCAAAATACAAAACTGAAACACAAAGAGAAAAATTTAACATTCGATGTTAAGAAAAATCGGGAAAACTGGAGAAGTTATCACATAGATATAGGTGTAAAACTAGGCAGGACCAAATAGATGCTAAAAGCACAGAAAGACATAAAATGCCTTTTTGTTTCTGCCATCTCATTTTTTACTGTTCATGGATAGGAAAAAATGAATGCTAACATTATTTTCTTTAGTTGATGCTACGAGGACTAATACCAAATTACTGGCTGTAATGGTTATATATAGCTTTTCCCAAAAAATTAAAGAAAGANAATACTTATATAAATCCATATATATTAATTGCAAGCGGCTGTTAGCCTAGAAGTTGCAGCAATCACTAATGGAGGTCTGTCCTAATTCTCAGACTCTCTAACGGAAAAAAACTTGTCATCTCCCGTATATATTAATTCTCTCCTTGTACAATTCTCTACCTTCATATATTTTCTCCAACGTAAATCTTTAAAACAAACCATACCTTCTTCCTTAGTTCCTGTTCTATATATTTTCTTGTTAATCTGTGCTATAAATCTTGATCGTTTGACAGAAATTAAGGAAGACAGAATTAGGTTTTCTTCTTCATATATTTAGATACTATTTCCACTTGTTTGTGGTGATCCATATATATATATATATCGATCATGTGCAGTAGAGGCCATTGGAGGCCTGCTGAGGATATGAAACTCCGCGAATTAGTCGAACGATATGGACCTCATAACTGGAATGCCATAGCTGAAAAGCTACAGGGAAGATCAGGTGAATTAACATGCATCTTGCAACTACTATATATGTACATGGAACCCCACCCACCCACCCACCCACAAAAGGATAAAAAAAAAAATTGCATAATGATGATCATAAGATAAATTTTACCGCAAGGGTGAAAGGTCCATGGAAGATCACAGCAGTAACATGTATATTACTCAGTTTTTAGGGTTTGCTAATTTGATATGATATGGAAATTTTATTGATCAGGGAAAAGTTGTAGGCTGAGATGGTTCAATCAGTTGGATCCAAGAATAAACCGGAATCCGTTCAGCGAAGAGGAAGAAGAGCGGCTTCTTGCTTGCCACCGGATTCATGGGAACCGATGGGCTATAATTGCTAGGCATTTTCCAGGACGAACTGATAATGCTGTGAAGAATCACTGGCACGTTATCATGGCACGAAAATGTAGAGAAAGGTCGAAAATTTACGCGAAAAGAGCTAATTCACAAGCACTGGATTGTGATCAAGAATCCTCCTCTAAGCATGACAAACAAATGGGCTCTACTCCTTCATTTGTAGACAGATATTCCAAGAGATTTGATTTCCCACAAATATATAACCTGCAACCTATCTATTGGAAGGAGCTCCATTCTGACACTCTTATTCATCATCATATGGAGTTCGATCAAGGTAATGTTTCATTTGGTGTGGTCCTTATCTTTTTGGAAGTAGGAAAATTGCTTAAGTTGTGTGTTTGGACATGTAAAAGGGAATAGATGAGCGGGTGATAAGTGTGATTAAAAGTTTTTATGGACGATGAGGACTAATTTTGAGTCTTGTGACTATCTATTTATGAAAATTATGTACGTGTTACGAGTACATGTTTGGCTTCATTTCTTAAAATTTATTTTTTATAAACCCATTTTCAACTACACATTTCACGAAATGCACAATTTTTATCAATTTTTCATCCCCACAAATTTCATCATTTTTTTTTTATCAAAATCTACCAAAAATTGATTTTTAGCAAAACCGAACAAGGGCTAAGTTTACTTTCCATTACCCAATAAAGAATGTATAAAAGAATTAAACTCTTCATTTCCTTCTCTTCGAGCATGTTCAGCTAAATTTAAGAACATAAAAAAGTCACTTATAGTTTTCAAACATGTTTGGATATGTAGAAAAAAGTGAGTTTTGTTTTGGTTGTTTGGGAATGACCGGTTTATATTTATAATTAATAGAAAGGAGTAGCGGATAAATGAATAATATTTGTGGGTTCCACAAAATGAGTCGAAATAAACACCATATATGTAGAATTTATCAAAGTACACTAGTTTTCATACTGTTCTATTTCATATAAGCTTATAATTAATACGATATTCATAGAAATATGATTTGAAATCGCAGATAAAAGTCAGGCAGTGGAATTCTATGATTTTCTGCAAGTAAATACAGAATCGAACAAAAGTGAAGTGATAGACCATTCAAAGAAAGATGATGATATTGAAGTGGAGCAGAAGAAAAATGGCGTACAATTTATAGATTTCTTATCAGTGGGAGGCTCTCTTCCTAATTAATCTGGCTCACTTTTTTTTGAGGTTAAATTATATATGTTTGGTAGAGTAATATAAACAAGATACTGTATACCTTCCACTTTACCAAACGAGTCTTAGATGCATTTACACAAGAATCAATCTACTTTGCTAGATGATTTTAGCATCTTGGATGATAGAATGACGTATGGCAACAAGTGATTGGATGACAGTGTTGAAAAGTTGATAAAAAGTTGTCAGTTCGATAAAATGTGAATCAAACATGGACTTAATATTAAATTGTTCAAAAGCAAAAAACCTAATTAAGTAAGGAATTCATACTTGTCCTTTTATCTTCTTTCATGACTTGCGTTAGACTAAAGTACAGTTTAAGAAAGGATTAGACTTAATCAATAGAACAGTAAACTTACAAAAGTATCATAGAATAAAAATCAGCACTAAATTTCGTGTGCTTAATTCACGTTTCGTGATATTGCACGTGCTTAAGTTATGTCGCATGACATGCAAGTATCACAAGAGTAAAAGTAATACTAAAAAATAATTTAATAATTAAACTGACGATAAATGATGATATTTTAATTCTCGTCTCGACTGTCTGGTTCTGTACTGTTTTCATACCTATGAGATGATCAATTTTCACATAATATATCCAAAAGCATCCTCGCGTAATATTGTTTCAGATAGAAAGACCCTGCATCATATGTCCTTGATTTTTTTATCCGGAAGAGTAGTTGCTTCTTTTTTTTTAGTACACATTCTTAAACCCTTATAGTTCATGTCAATCTCGATTAGACTTGTATGTAGATATGTGTAAGATCAATTATCTTGCTCGTATTGAAAATATCAGTTATAACTTCTTGACCACCGATATCGAAAATATTGACTTGCTAGAGTCTAGAGCCGAAGATAAATTTATGAACTAATTCTTTAATTGCAAATATGGATTAATGAGTAATTTTCACGCTTTGATTCCTATAACGATCGATAAATCGATTTTATATTTCGATCTCCCCAAGTCTCCAAATGGATAATTATAGGATTTGGCATGGCCCAGTTCAAGATTGCAAATAGGTCCCTAAAGTTTTTGGATTCTACTAAAGATATCCTAATTTTTTGTTAATATGCAAATTGATCCGTAAACTTTCTAATTTATGCAAATTGGATCCTATGTTTTTAACAAGCTGTAAATTGGTCCCTGAAGTTTCAGTTTGGTTTGAATCAATCGCCGACTTTTCATAATGCCTCAATTCAATCGTCCTATGTTTAAAAAGATTCATTTTTTTTTTCAACCACATTCTCCAATAAAATAATATTACACAGATCAATTTTTTTTTTTTTAATCACATTCTCTAGAAAATTACTATTATAAAACACATTTTTCATTTTTAATAAAAACATCAATATTATTATTATTTTTTTTTTTCCTGCGTGAAAAGCTCACTTGGTTCTAGATTTTCAATTTCATCTCATTTAGTTGGTGACTTCATGATTTACAAAACAATACATCACCAGAGACATGGTAACAAGCATATTCACAATTTAGAGGATGAAACGTAGTGTGATGCATCAATCACAGTTAGCGTGTTTACTGAACTTGCTCGTGTCATAATGAGTAAAAAGTAATAAAAATGGGTAATGTCAAGCAGCTACACATTATGTACAAGATGAGTGAACACGAAAAAAAACTGAAAACCCTACAGTTACATTGCGTATGGGCGATTACATTTTCAGTTCAGAGTAAAACGAGAATACAACTCAGTTGTATGAAAGATGGACACCACCAGTGAAACCAAAACATGCATTCCAATTATGCAGGCACTTAAAAGGAATAGGGGTTTGCCGAAGATCAGTTGCAGACGAATAGATAATTTCATTTGGAAGTCGCCAGCGCATCTTTTCCTCCCTCTTTAGCAGAAAATACTCGGACTCATGAATCTTAAATTCTTCAAGATGATATTGGCTCATAAGGGTATTGTAGCCATGGGTGTTTCAAAGCCTCGGAAGCTGAAGGGCGCTTCTTGGGGTTTATCTCGAGCAGATGATCAACAAAATCGATGAAGCCCTGGTCTCCCATTGGCAACCGATGCCTTAAGGATGACTTTTTGGGAATCAAGTACTCCAGTCGATTGGTTTCCTGAGCAGGTAATCAAGATTATGGAAAATGACGGAGCAGGGAGTAAAACTAATATATCACGTACTCCATTCATTGGCCTGATTTCTTTTGCATTCAAGATAGTTAAGCAATAAACGATCTGGTAGAGGAGAAAAGTTCCGTGCTGTAGTAGAATTGATTTCCAAGTGCTAGTGTACAAAGAAAATCCATAATAATCAAGGACAAACGAGGAGTAGTATGGTACAATAAGAAGCTAACACACAAATTGTGTCAGATACCATGAATTTAGTAATAAAGATATCAATGGATGCTAGATAATAAATTTGTCTGTTTTGCACAAAGATGTAATGGTTCTTCCCACAGCTTGACATCCACGATTTATTATATTCCCTCTATAATTGAATTTTGCTAAGCAAAGTGGCGCAAAGAATATAACGTTATGTTCCCACTTCAAAAGAGCATTTTTTGCACGTGAATTTCCGATGAATCTTCCGTTCACTTCACTTACCAACCACCCTCATCCTCATCCTGTACTGTTTGTGTGGCGGCATTATTTCAAGTAGCACCATGACAGAAAGTATTACCAAAGTGGAGACAAAAGCATGCTCCTGCTTTCCTTAAGCATAGTAGTACATTATCCTAGATTATTTCCTTTTGTTGCGCACACATCATGTGTGCCACTGTAGCTAGCCCACAGCTATCTTACTTCACACAGTGACCTTACTCAAAAGACTACAAAAACACTAAGCCCATGTTTGGCCCCCATTTTTGGGGGTTGAAAATTTTTAGAATAGTGATTGATGGGGGAATCTGTGGTTGAAAAGTTTTAGATTTGTGTGTAATATTTTTTTATTTGATGAATGTGTGGTTGAAATGAAGAGAGAGAAAAAATTAATGTAATGGAATTTAATTTAATGGGGCTCAAACGGGGCTAAATGCTTGAACATGGAAGCATCCTAAATTTTACTTGGGGAGAAATGACATAAAGCTATAGCTAAAAGTCACGAAGCTCAAGAAAACAACATTACCTGGTTCCGTTCATAAAGCATGTGATTTTTTGTGAAATACTTATATGTATCTCGTCCTTTAACAAGCATCTCTTGGTCAATGGGGCCTATGATTCCAATAACCCGAGCAAGCAAAGTTGCAGAAGAATCATTTTGGAAGAGTACCTACAAAACATGGTAATTAGAATTTTACATTTTATCCTCAGGATCCAAGAAGTACTAAAAGCAATCAATGGTAACAAAGCATTGAAGGTTTCAGCAAGTTTTTTAGATAATACTAATATGCAATGCAAAATCATGACCAACATTATGCCTTTTATCATGATTTCTAGAAATTATAAAGCTCTTTTTTTTATTCGTACATGTTCGTATGGTAAGACCACACTTACCAATCCAACAAAAATTCAAGATTCTCAAGCTTCTCGTTCCCAACTACTAAATTATTATCCCATTATGATTCAAGACCTGGATCTGTGTCAGCGCATTGACTTCAACCAATGGCATAAGCACGCAAAATGCATGGAGGCCACTAGGCTTCATTGGGATTAAGTGCAAAGAACAGAGGATAACACTTCACAGAAGCAAAGCACATATTACAACTAAACAAAATATCTTCATAGATGCACAATGTATTCATCAAGTAAATTGCAAATATCAGTTGATTTTTCAAATAGTTAAACAAGGAATTAATTTTGAGAACAATATTTTTCTAAACACTTGGGAAATTCAGCTACTATACGCGACAAATAAATCAACACGAAAACAAAAAGAAAAAGAATAAATTCATCGATTCAGATGGAATATAAACCCAAAACCTATAAAGAGTGCTATTTTCCAATTATTGTTTTCCCACGATTTGTGCTTTTTCATAATTCGTTGAATGTGCTGTCTCAGCAATTAAGAGTACCTAAGATGCCTAACTGTGCTTTCCATGCAGCTTAGACATGTATTTACAATTACGTTTCACCATTTTGACAATGAAAATTTAAAAGTGTGATTGGGCCGCAATGAATTGAACACCGCACAACTCAAGAAGCACTTCTGCCATGCACCTTTGTTTGCACCCTACCCGAATTGTTTGAGGGTGAAAGACTCATTCTTATAGCATCAATTTCATCTGCAAGTAAAAAAATCATCCAACAACTATTCTTCCTGGAATTATGCATTAATACATTTATTTTAGCAATCTCATTATGATCTCCTTGTAACAGCCTCCAACATAGTTTCCTTTCTGCTGCTTCACAGCCTACTGAGCCTAGCTACTCAAGCAATATATTAGACATCAAAAATCAGCTACCTACATCAGGTTTTGTGCAGTTCTCCATCACTGAGTTTTTGTTTCCTAAATCAGAGGACCAAGTGAAAAGTCTAACCTTAGAAAAATTTCCCACACGAAAATGACCAGCATAACTTGCCAAAAATACTTGAACTACACAGCATCATTTAACATTGTAGAGTTTTCAATGCAAAAAGAGGACGCATAGAGTACAATAGAACAGAAAGTAAAAACGGAATTGGCGGGGAAACAATGTTTCTCAGTTGACCCTGTGATAGATATTATTGGGATGACATTGCTAGAACAGCAAAGACGAAGTTCGTGGAAATTGAAAGAACTTACATTTCCAGTGCATAGTTCTGCCAAGATGCAGCCAAGTGACCAGATATCAATCTTTTTATCATATGGAAGTCCCAGAATAACCTCCGGTGCACGATAGGACCTAGATTGAACATATGAACAAAGATGATCTGTTTCGAAACAACTACTTCCCAGATCAATGACCTTCACTTCACATCTACTGTAACTTTTCACCAAAATATTCTCAGGCTTCAAATCACAATGTATGAGGCCAAGGCTATGTAAGAATTGAAGTGCTTCCAAACATTGAATAGTAATCGACTGCAAGACAAAATATACAAGTCGGTGATCACACTCCAAAGAGTAAAGCCCCATACAAACTGCCATGCCACCTACCTGCAGTCTTGGCATTGTAAAGTAGACCTCGCCTCCAGATTCTCTATTAAACTTGTGGAACTCATATAGGTTTGCTTTCAGCAATTCGCATACAATTAACAAGTGCTCCTGCAAATAACAAGAGAGGTTAGAAGCTAATTCCATGCACCAAACATTGATCATTCTTAATAAGCTGATAAAGATACATCAAGCATGCAATGCAAGAATGACGGCTATCACCACATGCACAACAAAGTGAAGTAACCCATAAATATTTCTTCACACGAATTCGTCTTATAAGCTAGAGAAATGGTCTGCCTTACAGAAGAAAAATTGATCATTAAGTCTGCACCAATGAGACTGTCACCAAAACATGCACTAAAGACACGTCTACTAAGATTCTCTCATAGCTTTTAACCCAAAAATGAAGAGGGGATATGAGGCACCATTAATTGATAATGCCACCACAAGCTCATTGCAGTATAAACCCAGCGCATAAATTATTGCTGGTAGCGCTCCATGATAGAGGGCTTACTGCCAAGGTGAATAACAATTTTATGCCATTTAATCTCGTACTAAAATAACAAAAGAAAACACTTTTTCAAGTAACGAAAATATATACAAAAATTTAACAAACATTGGTAAACATATATATAGTCTGTAAACTTATTGATGCTGAGCATGTAAGAAAAGCGTGAGATTACCCTGCAAGAGAGAGAGAGAGAGATAAAGTAGAAAAACAAGAGAATTCGAAGGAATAGAAGGAGAAAAGTTCTCAATATACCAAATGTTTTAAAACCCCTTTGATTAGAAAATGAAAATTAACAAAATGGAAAATTTCCTAACTAAAGCCAAATAATTAGGGATAAAAATAAAATAAAAATTCTTAATCCATTCCATACGTTTCTGCCTACAATAAGTTCGTAATTTTGGCATGTTTTCATAGATAAGTCCATTATAGTTTCCATTATTGCTTCCTGACCAAGAACACGTTGTCTCTGTTGAGTTAATCTGCAGAAACCTTTTCAAGGTGGAAGATCTTTCGTTCAAACCAGGTATCAATGCTAACATTAGTTCATGGAGTAGGAGGAATACGTAAAACTGGAACTAAGGATTGTCCTACACCAAAAAAAAAAAAAAAATGAAGGGAACACCCGAGCCTTGACTGCATCTCGATAAGGAAATAAATTTATTATACTGAAATAGAACTTGTATTCATATGTGATGGTCAGTCAAATGTTTACGCATTGAACATGAAATTTCTTGATGAATTTTTAAAGTACTGCTTAAGAGAAATAGGAACCATGACACAATTACACTCGTCCAATCCTCAATGCTTTCAAGGTACATTAACAGCAAACTTGAAAATTTCATTACTCAAAGAAATTTATCAATTGATCTCAGTATAAAAATTATGAATTTGGTTAAGGTTTGGCTAAAGCAACCTTGATGGCAATTAGCAGATAATAACCTAAAGTCAATAGGAAAAATGCAACTCATTTTTCAGTCTATCTATTTTAGTATGAACACATCCACTGTGTGGACATTTGCCCTCTAACTGCTTAAAAGTCAGTACATAACCATTCTTCATAACTTGTCTTCGGGTAGATATCATCTCTATTTATCTAATCAATTTTAATCATATACATTAATCCTAGTTAAGTCATGCTTCCATATTACTAATCAGACCCAAACACCTAAAATAATCACTCTCAAATCTAAAAATTATGAAAAACTAATAACATATTTGCATTAGTGAAACAAATCTCATAAAAAGTTCCATACCAATAACCTGCTGCATATTAGGCAATCCTTTAAAAAAAAAAACAGAAATGAAAAGGACAAATTAGAGGTTTTAGGAAACCACATGTATACTATAAAACTGAAATAACTATTAGGAGGAAAATAATAGCAATTTAAAACTAATAGGAGTAGCAGTTAAAAAGGAGGAATAAAATCGCCAACTTACTCGATAATAAAAATAATCGTACAACCGAAGAATGTGGTACTTGTCAGAAGGATCGTGCTTGTTCACATACTTGAGAAGTTTTATCTCGTCAAGGCTCTGATCAAAAAAATCCTTGTTGTTCTTTATAATCTTCATGCAGACATCCATGCCAGTATGAAGATCATGTGCCTGAATAGCTTTACTGAAAGCAGCTGATCCAAGATATTCAGTGACATGATAGCGCCCAGCAATTACAGAATTTAAAACAACATGGAAATTTTTGTCCTCCTCGAAGCCAGTTCTGAAGCAAACAGAACCCAGTTAACAATTGACCTAAAGTTTTAAACTGCATAGACAGTAACCAGGTGAAAATGTAGACAGTGCGTCACTAGACATCAAATATCCAAAATAGCCTGAAGATTTTGAGAAGGGATATCCGTGACAAGGTAAACAGCATACACAAAGACGTGATTGGTGCCACTTAAAGCAATTAATTTGAATCAAAATCTACCATTAAACTCAATTGTACTGGTACAGATGAAATTTAAATAACTACACCATATACTTGAACATAATAAGCATTGAGGAGGTAAATTATCTCCAGCTTTAATGCTTTAAGTCAAACATGTAATGCCCCAAGGGTTGCCATATTATAATCATGGACAAGACAAGGTTGACTGCCACAATGAACCCAAATGTGATTGTTGACCCAATTTAACCTAACTCCAATTTAAAAGGAGACAATATGCTCTACTTCAAACTCTAGTTGTGGGTAGTTATGATTATGAAGACCTACTTTACATTCAAGTTATTGCAGGTAAACTCTGAAGGCCAAAACATAAACTGTGTATCTTAAAAAGAAACATTTGACCGTAACTGCATTCTCACAGCCAAAATATTTCGCCACTGCTGTCAACTATCCTTCATCATCGATTCAATGCACAACAACCAGTGAAACTCAAATTTCACACAGAAAATTGGTGCACTAAATGTATTGATGAATTTATTCACTAAAAAATAGGGGAAAGGCGTAATTGAATATACAACGAGCATTGTCTGTGTTGTATTATGATTTGATCTTAAAACATAAATCACAGTTAGCAATATCGAAATAGTATCTGAAAATACATTAGCAAATTAATGATAATAGGCCACTTAATGAGGACTCGCAGAGTAAATAACTAGGATATTTCTCTTAATAGCATAACTCTTAAACTACAAGAAGGATTAATAGTACAATTCATATGACTACATAGAAGAAGAAATGCATGCCTGTTTTTCCTGTGGACAATCTTAAGATTGAAGGTTTCGAATTCTTCCTCTTGTGCCTTTATCTGCTTCACTTGCTCTTGAACGGCAGCAGCCTCCTCATCCTCCAAAGATCCCCTAGGATCTTCTCTTACACTTGATGTTTTTGTATCCTCTTGTCTCTTTACATGCTCTCTCTCGACATACCCATAATTTGAAAGAGATGAGGGACTAGAATTCAATGATCCTACAGCATTAGCAGTGTTTTCGTCCCTTGAATTCGTGGCAGGCGAAGAGTCATTGCTATTTTGCCTCCTTGAAGCAAGCATGTCATTGCTACACACTGCATTATCATCAGCTTTATCGCTGACAGCAATGTTGCCATTGATTGACAACAAAGATTTACCCGAGCTTGTTGACACCAACTGCCCATCTCTAGGAGGAGGAAATGAAAAGCCTCCATCTGCGTGATTTTTTGCGTGTGCAAATGTACCCCTATCATCACTCATTATATTTTCACTGGAGTTATGTTTATTGGTTCTGTTTTTCCCTTTACTTGTTTGTTCGCCGAAATTATTACCTGGATCATGCTGTGAGTGTGTAGACCTACCAATATTTATATCATGATCGTGGAAGTACTCAAAGTCTCCCTTACTACCTTCAAACAAACTTTTCCTCACTTCACTACCTATATCAGCAGTGTCACCGTTAATCCCCACACCAATAGATCTGACAGAACCATGCTGATCATCATCCATGCAAATATCATCTAGACGAGGCCTTCCACACTCATTCAGAACTTTTCCATCCCTGAGCAGGATGAGTTCGTTTGACTGCGTGATAAAGCCCTGCCACACCGGCTCCGCACGCATCAAATTCAGTTCCTCTTCATCCATCAACTGTCCATCATATTGGGTGATCAAGTCATTCTCATCATTTCTTCTGTAAATTTCAGTCACTGACAGTCCAGTAGGATCACCTGAAGGTATAATTGGAGAAAGGTTTTTTGATTGGATATACTGCTCACCGGAGAAGTAGGAATCCTCTTCTGCAAATGATTGATCATCTTCATCATCCTTATTTTGACCCTGCTCACGAGGGTCTGGAACGCTCCCATGCCCTGTCCCCTTTTCATTGTCACTTGGGTAATCAATTTCATGTGCTAAAAACCAAGTCTCATCTTCAATAGGTTGTCGCATGTAGCCAACATCTTCATCGTCGTCATATTCATCAGAGTCCCAGTAGTCAACAGATTCACTCAATCCGTCACCAATGGTTGCAAAACCAGAAACAAGATCAGAAGAATCCTCAGCAATAATACCCTGACTTACCGAGAGCCAACTACCACCTCCAGTCTTTTTACTAACTGCATCATCATTTGGCAGAACAAAGAATATTTAAGAAGTCAAAGAGGAAGACTAGGAACCAAGAAAAACAACAAATATTTAGGTAATTGAAAACCAAAAGAATGAAAGATACAGATTAAATAACAGGATAACCAAAGACGAAATCATATTAAATACAGAGGCCAATAATTGGACAGTCACTTATGGATATGAACACTTCAAATAAATTTAACGACTGTGATATGCCCAAAGAGAAGGAAAGAGGAGAAATTGAATGGAACAAGAAACAGGAAAATTCTTTTCAAAAGAGAGAATTAATTGTCCAAGAGGATAAATATAATCTTTGTCATGACTTCATCTCTATTATGGAAGCCAAATAATGGGAGACAAAGTCCACCTTCTCTTTTTTCACAGCTTCTTTCATATTCTAGACAGTGAAAATCTCCATAGCAGAAGGAAAATAAATAATTTTGAAAGCTATACTTATGTGCTTGAGTTTGCCTGAATGCACATTGTTCATACCACGGCCAGAATTGCAACAATTTATAACATGGAACAGTTAATATAGCAGTTGTGCATGTCTTCAATATGGCAAAGCCGAACTAAGCTGGATCTTCAAACAATATGTCACATTTTCAGATGCATTACTAATAAAATATTCACCAATTCAATAAAGGTGGTTATATTCACACCACATCATTTTATAAACACACAACATTTTAATTACATTAAAGGCCATTAAACCTTTATTAATTGTCAAATTTATATCCTTAACCATTTTTTTACCATATTCTTATCTTTAACACGATTCATTAACTAGATATTATTGTCCTTAATCACAGTTTTCGTTCAAAAAACAAGGGCAAAATTTTTAGTCATAAAATGTGGTTTAAGTAATTAAAAAATGTGGTGTGAATATATTTAGCCATTCAATAAAAGAAGAAAATGCAAGCATGCTTATCATGCAATTATCAGTTATGTTCATCACTTCATTGTACGTTGTGTTAGCTAATTTTAGTTCTCATAGGTATACCTTGATCTAGGTAAAAATGAAATAAAAAATTATATCAGCAATCATGCTAAGTATACAATAAACATAGTAAATTTTAGGGAAGACCTTCTTGTCCGATAGGCACATCCAGAAATGAACCTATGAGATATGCATTGTCAGCACTCGTGATCTTCAGACCATGTTCATTTTCGAACTTCTCGTCACAGTGAATATTGAGGGACTTGTCTATTGACTTGAGTCTCACTGGTGGTAACCTCGGTAGCTCTTCTTTCTGATTCTCAGATGTGAGTTGAAAATCCAATGCATTAAAATCTTTTGGCTCACCTCCTTGAGTCTTCCCAAAGTACAGAGCTCTTCCCACCTCATCCACTTGTGCCTTAATCACTGTCCTAATATCACTGAGTTCTGTTTTTCTTTTTCCCTCTTTTTTACCGCCAATACTGGGAGCACTATCATAACAGACTGATGTGTCACCCTTGGAGAAGGGGAAAACAGTTTTGACCGAACAATTTCTCCACATCTCTGATGATGGATGGGATGATTCATCACTTAGAGACCAGGGATTATCCACAAGGTTGTCTTTGGAGCAGGCTCCACTAAGCTTTTGCTGATGATCAACTTCCTTTAGTTGACTCTTGTCACTCCATTCATGCCTTGTTTCCGCACTAGCTTTACTAGTACTCCCTGGCCAAGACACGTTCTTTTCACCAGAAATACTAACATCTTCCCCTGATTTTGCATTAAATTTGCCGCTATCAAGAATCTCAGCTGAATTCATCCTAGACTTTCCAGAATCACGAAAGCCTGAGATGTTTTTTTCACTATCATTCTGATAAGAAGGACCATTGCCTGGATTGTACTTCCCCGAATACAAATCAAGCACAGTATCATCTGAACCCTTGGAAAAGGTAAAGTTCTTATCTCTCGTCTTGACCGACTCATTAACCTTGCTCTGCTCTGCCAGATAACTACTGCCTTTCCAATTGCTCTCAGGCCCATTTCTCCCTGTTCCACATTCTATCTCCTTCACAATAAGCTCCTTAGAAACCTCCACACTACTTGGAGAACTTGTTGGCTCCTCACCACCTTCTCCACTAACTGGCAAAATGGTCATCTTTCTATCTTCTTCGATTACTTTTCCCCCATTTGCTTCTTCACACATACTACCTGATGCTTTATCTTCAAGCGTAAGCTTTTGAAGAATCCCATTTAAATCTGGTCTATTATACAGCTCATTGCACAATGCAGCCTCAGCTTTTGTAAATTTATTTCTTCTTAGAAATTCCAATATGCCATCCATTGAACTTGACTCTGCCATCTATGCAAACACAGCCTAATAATTCGAGTAAATCTGTAAACATTTAAAACAGAACAAAAATCCAATAATCAAAACTCAAGTTAAAGTACATTTCGAACTCAAATTCAAACCCCAATCAAGAGAACTCACATTACATTTATTCCACGCTTAACGAGATAACATAAACAAGAAATTAAAGAACTTTCTACCAAAAGCTAAACAATAGTACAAAACGGAGTGAAAATGACAGTTTTCATGAATCCCTATGAATATACACATATACGAAAACTAATAAATTCAAAGACCCAACTTTGTCTTGTATTTAACATAAAAACATCAAATGATTTCATAAAGATCTACGCTTTATCGAAACCCTAGAACGCAAAAAACCGTATGAAAGGAAAATGAAAGGATTTCAAAATGCAAATGATTTAATAATTAAACAAAATGGAACAGGGAATTTAAGTAAATTGAAAAATGCTTACGGATCGAAGAATATGCTGTTTCTGGAAGAAAACAGAGTGTATGAATTCCATCATCCGGACTTCAAAAAATGAGAACCAACATTAACGTTGTACTAATGACAAAAAAACAATAGTAACGAGAATAATAAAAATTAGTGAAAATTAGTGCTAGAAATTAGAATTTGTGGATTTCTAATGATTTTTTATTTTTATTTTTATTTTTGGGAATCTTTGGGGGTCTGGAATTATAGTAAGGGTTAATTTCAGAAATGATCACTCAAGTTATAGCAAAATTTCAAAATGGTCACTGAAGTTCCAAACTTGCATAAACGATCACTCAACTTTCAGTCACTTTCAAAAATGGTCACTGAAGTTAGTTTTAAGACTTTCTTGTTCTAATTGAAACCTAAAGCACCAAAACACGGCCACGTAAAAGTTGGAGGACCTCAACTTCAAAATGCTCTCTCTTTCTCTCTAGAATTGCAAAAAATGTACAAAACATCTGTCAAATTCCGGCGACGCAAACCACCGGATTTTGGTACCAATGTCTTGCCCATAACATTAGCTTCCATTATATCCAAACATCATGAAATTTGACCCACAAATTTGGAAGAAATCGAAGAAAATAAAAAATAGATTTTCGCGAAGTTCGCGACAGCGCACTTCTTGGCTGCAATTTTCGACTACAATCCGACGAACCAGGGGCTCACACCAACGGGGTTAGGTACGTCTTCACCTGGCGCACCTAGCCCAGTAATGGGTCTTCACCAATTTGGCACGAATCAAAACGAATTTGGATCTGAACTCGTTTTCTGCTCTCGCGAGTTCAAGCCAGCGAACACTTCAGCTTCAGATCCAAATTCGTTTTGATTGGGATCAAATTGGGGGAGACCCATGGCTGGGTTAGATGCACCAGGTGAGGGCGCACCTAGCCTAGGTGGTGCGCCACCCTGGTTCGCCGGAACGGCGCTGGAATTCGTTGTTCTCCAGTGCGTTGTCGCGAGCTTCGCAACTGACATTTTTCTGGGCAAAATTGGAGCTGTTGAGTTCTTGTTTGGGATGAATTGAATCCATGGTTGAGGTCGTCTATGTGTGGGCTTTCTACCAATGGTGAGATCCGATCATGGGGGTGGCCGGAGGTGGTGTTTCCGACGTTTTTCATATTTTTTGGCAGCTAAATTTGAGCTTGAATTCCGGCCAGATTACTTGATAAAATTGGGAGGGGTTTGTTGGTAATTGATTGGGGGGTGGGGGGTTTAAAGGCTTTCCAATGGTATCTAAATCCAGCGGTTTGGGTGGCCGGAAGTCATCGGAATTTTGGTGCATTTGTACTGTCAGAGATGAGGCTTAGAAAATGAATTTGCACTTCAGGTCCTCCAATTTTGAAGGGGCCTGTGTTTGTTAATTTGTGTTTCAATTAGAACAAAGAAGTCCCTTAATTTTGCTCAGTGGCCATTTTTTAAAGTGACTGAAAGTTGAGTGACCGTTTATGCAAGTTTGGAACTTCAGTGACCATTTATGAAATTAACCCATTATAGTAATAATTTTTATCTTCCATCGGCGTTATGCGAAGTGAGGATGGGTCTGGGTTTTGGTTTGATTTTTTATTTATTTGATAGTATGTCCTTGTTTGATTTTGTTTTTAAAATATATTTTATCTCTTTTATTTTTAATCACATTCTTCAATATAATAATATTATACACAAATTCAAAAAAAAAATCTTATTTTTTAAACACACATTTTACATCAAATATTATTTCAAAATACATTTTTATCAAAAAATGGGGTCACGCAATTAATTTTTTTTTTTAAGGCTGAACAAAACTCCCGAACCGAATAAATTAAATATCTGAATGTGTATCTGAATCGAGAACTGATGTGTTTGGTTCGGTTCTCGATCACCAAGAACATAAGAATTGAATAAGAATCGAATCTAAATAATTTTTTTAGCTTTTTATATTTGATGAATTAAATAAATTAGAAAATTAACTAATTAAGTTGAACAAATTTTAGTGTATTTGTGTTTGTTAATTGTGTTTTTTCAATTATACTTGTAAATTTTCTTAGTATGACAAGTCAAGTAATTGATAATTGAATCAAATAGTTGGTAAGCATTACCAATACTTAAAAATATTTTATTTTTATAACTTTTAATTTATATTTCATTTTTTATGTAGTCTATTTGAAACAAATGAATTATTGATATGGATTACCGATATTTTAGTATTAGTGTCTATTTTTTGGTATTTGTATAAATTGAATTAATCTCAATTGGACAACTTGTTATTTATATGTTTTTAAATTAGGCTACGTTAATTTGTAAAAGTTACGAATGAGCATGTCATTAGTTATATTTATTTAGTGGTACTGTAAATGTTAAAAAAATTAATTATGGTACGGAACTGAACGGAATCGAACCCGAACAGTTCTATAATTATATTTGGACCCGATGGTTTCATTTATAATACCCAAAAATTTTGGTTCGGTTCGATTCTGATTCGATTCTCTTCAGAATCGAACCGAACCGAACAAACCTATGTCCAGCTCTAATGAAGAGAACCGGAAAGAACCGAACCAACCTATGTCCTGCCCAATTTTTTTCATACTCCCCGGTTGAGCCCCATTTTTTCTCATTCCATTACATTAATTTTTTCTCTCTCTTCATCTCAACCACACATTCTCAAATAAAATAATATTACACACAAATCTAAAACTTTTCCACCACACATTTTCCCATCAATCACTATTCTACAAATTTTCAACCCCA